CAGATCCGATCCAGGGTCCCACACTGCATTTCCTTCATCTTTTCCAACCTGTACCAACTCCTCATCATTTCCCTGTCTTTCATGACCTTGACACTTTTTTGAAGAGTTCTGGTCAGTTATTTTGTAGACTGCCCCTCAGTTTGGACTTGTCTGATGTTTTCTCATGATGAGACTGGGGTTTTGGAGTTTCTGTAAGAAAACCACAGAAGTGATGTGTCCGCCTCAGTGCACCATTCAGGGGTCCCTGCCGTCAGCATGTTTCATCCCTGGTGATGATAACCTGGATGACTTGGTTAAGGTGGTGTCTATCAGGTCTTTCGCTGTAAAGTGGAGAATTCCATGTGGAATTAATATCGATCAGCGGGGAGATGCTGTGAGACTCCAGCATTATCTGCAACCATTTGTAATCCTTCTATGTGTACGTTGGGATGGAGGTAGGGCAGGCGATGTGTTTTGTTCAGTGTACATCCCAAAAGCAGATCAGAGCTTGCTATAATCCCACTGCACAGTCAGAATGGAAGAAACCTTTGCCACTGTGAGAAAAAAACTGGCTGCATCTTGATGGACATAAAGGAAAATGTGACATGGCGTGTTTCTACTGTGTCTGGCAAGGAGGGGTGTACTTTGAATGGAATTCTTTTTATCCATGAGTTCATTCAGCAAATGTTTATTAATAAAGCCTAACTTTTTTCTAGTGTCTGCAGTTGGCCAGGCACTGGTGCCAGGCTGCTCATCTGTTACCTCAGTTCATATGCACAACACTTTAGACATTATTACCCATTTTACTGATAAGGATTCTGAGGTTTAAGGAAGTGGCTCAAGGGCATGTGGCAGAGCTGGAATTTGAACTCAGGCCCGTCTAACTCAAAAGTGTGCCATTTCCACGACACTAAGCTTGCTCCCCTACTGTGTGCCAACCAGTGATCAGTGCTGAGGATACAGAAGCATAAGGCACACGTTCAAGGAGAGCTCGTGCTACAGCACGGGGGCCTTTGGAAGAAGCACAGAAGGCCCTGGGAAGAATGGTTTCTTGTGGGTGTCATCCTTTCTTCCTGAGAATCACTGAGCAGGTTTTTCTCAGGTCTTCACTGAATCAGGGTAGATTTGACTTTGGCACAAATAGTTAACCAGAGAAGGGAGCTAACATTGATAGCGTGCTTGCTCTGCCTCTCACTGGCGCTATTTATCTCAGCCACCCTATGAAGTGGCTGTATTTTCTCCCCTTAGCTCTTGAGAATACCAAGGCTCCTAGGGGCTAAATAACATACCCAAAGTCACCAGCTAGTAAGTGGTTAAACTGGAGTTGAATCCCAGATCCAGCTGATGCTGAGGTCTTCGGTACCCCTTGATACACCAGGGGCTCCAGATTCCAGCATCCTCACCGCTGATGGGACCGTGCACCTGTTGTCTTCTCGTTGCTGGAAAGGATGATTGTGTTCACATCGTGCCTGATGGATGCTGACAACGGTGCATTCGTAACAAGTTTTTTTTGCTCAAATCAAGGGATCTTTGTGCAGCTTTCGCTTTTCTGTTTTTCAACCACCTCATCCCACAGTCAGTCCATGTCAACAGCAGGAAAATAGAAGGGGATGATTCTGAATCATTTGTGACATATAAAATGCTACTGCACAAAAAAGCACACGTCCCCAAGATGTATGGCATACGGCAAGTCAGGTCTCCCTGCCTACTGGCTTTTGATCAGAGAGTTTAGTTCCTCCTAGAATCAATGCTTAAAAAACAGTACTTGCTGCTGCTGCTAATAGTTTGTGGCCTTCACGTCGCAGGGCATTTGCTGAACTGTCCAGTGACGGAGGGGACAGAAGAGGTCCATCTTTTTCTTACATCTTCCATTTTGACATCTCCTGAGATGCTCCCATGTTGTTCTTTCCATTTCTTGTTGGTTTTGAAAATGCAAAAGTAATGCAAATGCACTTAGTGATTGGAAAAGAAAAGGAAAATATTATTAGCAAGGCCAGGGAACAAGGTAGGGAGATCTGTTGGTGATCTGGTTTATTAAAACTACTCTGTTTTGTCTCTACCACATATGACTGAGATTCACTGATTATCTTGACTCTGCTATTACTGTTCTGGTAGAGGCAATGAGAAAGAATGACCAACAGATGAGATTATCAGTGGCTGTGAAAAAGAACGGGGTCTAAGGAACTGGAAGATGTTCTTGTTTTCCCTCTTAGTTTGGACTCCCCCAGACCAGACCCAGAGTCAAGGATTCAAGTGTAGGTAATTTATTTGGGAGGTGCAGGAACCATTGGTAGGGAATTGGGGAGAATGAACTGGAAAGGGGAAAAGACCAATAAAAGGATGTGTTATCAAGTTATAATGTGTGGACCACAGCTTAATCCCACTGGTGAAACCTGGGAAAAGTGGTGTAGATTATGTGTGTCAGAATTATCCGTCATTCCCCCATCCTACCCAGGGGAGGAATCTAGGATATTTATACACCAACTTCTGAGTGTCAGCAATGGAGGGCTGCTTCCATGATGCGTGCTGGGCACACACCGAGTGGTTTCTGCAGCTTGGGAGAAAGCTGTCAGGCAGAGATGCGAATGCTGGCAGTTGGAAGTCAACCAGTGTACATCGAAGTGGCAAGGCCTAGGGATGTGGGCTGGGTACCAACAACATCCGCTATGTTAAAACAAAACATCCAGTCCTCCCCCAGTGTTCCCCATTATCATTAAATGTATCATCATTTACTCAGTCTCTCATGCCAAAGACCTTACAATTATCCTTGACATGTTTTTTGTTTGTTTGTTTTGTTGTTTGGTTTTCTGCTCTTGTCACACGTTCAGCCTATTGCCAAATCCTGTGAATTCCATTTTCAAAGTATATCTTGAATCCTATGACTTCTCACCAGCTCTACCATGATCTTTCACTAGATTTCTGCAATAGCTTCCTCTTATGAATTCTTGTTTATATTCTCATCCCCCACATGGTAGCCAGAGTAATCTTTTAAAATCTAAATCAAATCACTTTACTTGCCATCTCAAAACCATCCAGGGACCCCTTTCTACTCTTAGAATAAAATGTGAAGTTGTTACCATGTTCTGCATGATCTGGCTCCTAACTACATCCCTGACTTCAGTTTCCCTCCACTCCTTCCTCACAGTGCTTCAGCTAGATTGGTTTTCTTGCTGCATTCCTGCCCCAGGGCCTTTGCACTTGTTCTTTCAACACAGAACACTACTCTAGATGTTCGTGTCACTCAATCAGTTTATTCAGGTCGCTGCTCAAATGTCACCTCTGTGGGGAAGACTTTTGTTTTTTAATACTCTGTCTAGAAAATAGTCTTGTCAGTTTTTTCTTATAGCCTGGTTTTATTTATTTATTTTTTCCATAGCAGTGATCACGACCTGGCTGATTTTAGTTCATGTTTTTATTTATTGCCTATTCCTGCAATAGAATATAAGTGCTATCAGTGGGGGGACTCTGATTTGCTTCACTACCCCCACCTCCTGGAATATCATCAACACATAATAGGTATTCAGTAAATATTCGCTGAATGAGATCACACATCAGTCAAGAATTTTCAGAACAGATAGCAGAAACTGCAAATCAGAGTTTGATAACTGCCTGGCTACGTCTTTCCCCTCCCCGAGCTGGCTCCAATGATAAACATACCCTCTTAGCAGAGTCAGTTGAAAGTCCTGAGGCTACTTCCAATATGTTCTTTCTTGAATCCATTGCAAATCACAACTTGTTCATTTTTCTTTTTGCTTGCCTTTCTGAGAACAATAGAGGGAAAAATCAAGATAATCAGTGTGCTGCAAGTCATGTATGATGATGGGGACAGAGTGCAGTCTTGCTTTTTAATAAACTCGGATGTGAAGTTGGTCATTTCCCCAAGTGCCTGGCACCTAGTAGGGGCACACTACATGTTGAGTGAATTGACGGTATCATCCCTTTGACGTTTCTTGGCGTACTGGTTGTTCTGCAGAAGATACTGCATTTTATGACCCACACTCTTAAAGATGGCAGAGTGGAGGGGCCTTCTCCATCACTACCCCCATCCCAGTAAACCCTTAACCTTATCCACACCCATCCTTTTTCATACATACCACCCCATGATCCCCAGAATAGCAGATCAGCTCTATCTGTTGTGTGTGGTTTAAGAATATTTAATTTACTCCATTATAAAAATAATGCAGGTTCATTTTAGAAAATTTATAGATTACAGAAAAGTAAAAGAGGAAGAAAAACAAGACATTGTGCTACCACCCAGAGATAACCACTGTTAATATGTTAATGTATTTCCTCCCAGTGTTTTCTATGTATATTTTTGCATAGTTTTAATATACAATTTATATTTCTTTTTTACTTAACAGCACAACAGAATCATTTGTTCTTAACATTCAACACTTTGTGCCTATCTTTTCAAATAGTTGTGTACTATTACATTTCCCTGTTGTAGACCATTTAGTTTGTTTTCTATTTTTCAAAATTATAAGTATTGCTGAGATAAACATCCTTTTCCATGTATTTTATTAGCATTGCTGACTATTTCCTTAGGATAGAGTCCCGGAAAAGGAATAACTAGTTCTAAAGGATACAGAGTCTTAATACATTTCGTGAGATTTCATTTTGATTTCTAAAACCATTCGAATGTAACTTCCATAAAAGAGCTCTAGAAAAGCAGAATGCTT